TTAAATGAAAATAACAATTTTGTTTTTCCTTTGATGTGTCCCCCCGTCGGACGGATTCCTTTTGTTTGTTTTAAGTTTATTTTACAGAAAAGTTTAGGTCTTTTATTTATCGATTGAGGCACTACGAAGTCTGCCGGGTCAGCTAGTTTATAATATTACTAAAGAAAAGTTCGGATATGAATTTAAAGGGACGTATAAACAGAATAATACTATTATTAAAATTCTTCCATCAAAGTGGAGTTTTGACGCTGGGAGGCTGTTGCAGAGAATGTCCAGGAACCCTTTCAATTCCAATGGGAAGAGAAGACCTTGCGTATGAAATGTTAGACCATGCTTTGATACCATAATGGTGTGAGAGAGATATGTAGTTACATCTAATTCACAAAGGTTTTTATTTTGTTTTTTATTGCTTAGGTGGGTGGACGAGCTCACGGCCCACCTGGTGTTAAGTGGTTACCGGAGCCCATAGACATCTAAAACGTAAACGCCGCCACCTATCTTGAGATATGCGTTCTTAGATCTGTGTTTTTACAGTACAACGGCTGCCCCGCCCTTCAAACCGAAACGCATTACTGCTTCACGGCAGAGATAGGCAGGGTGGTACCTACCCGTGCAGACTCACAAGACGTGCTACCACCACTAATCACCATTTATAATCGATTTTAATAAACTCGAACACTGAAATCGATTTTGTTAAAACTCACAACACTAATACTAGAGTATTTAATAACATAAGAATTCAAGAAACAGGTGCGCGCGCACTCATCTCACTTTGTTTCTAAATGTGATCGAGCAGGTGGATCGAGAAACGGTAAATGGTTATTTAATTTAATGTTCGTTCGTAACGTGATTCTGGCTTAACATCATGTATCCCGAACGAACAGACAACTCAAAGAAACCATTAATTTCGTTCACACAATACCCGCAGGTACCAGGCTAACATAAATCTAAGGAGCGAATGTTTCTTACGTAGCCGCAGAATTCAAAATATCGTTCGATGACACTTTTCATAGATCAACTGATTTGAATAGAAAGGCACACGAGACACCAGCTGATCGAAAGTAAGAAAAAAAAAAACTTTTTGCATAACCGATTTTTCAAAGAAGGAATTCTTTTGTGCAATTTCTGCAATAGCGAGCCGCTTGATTGACGAAAATAACCTTAAGAGTTGAGCACATGAATTCAATTTTCTATAACAAATAATTCACATTTTCAAAGTTATTTATTTGATAATCGACCTCGCGCATCGGTGTTAAGGTTCAAAATTACAAACCGTTTAAATTCTAAGATGCACGTGCGGGGTCTACGAAAAAAGCATGCAAACCAGCTGATCAAGTCAGCTGTTCGAAAAAAGAACCTTTTCAAACTTTATGATCGTTTTTATTTTACTCATTCATTGCCGACAATGGAACTAAGAATGTACTGCCTACGTTTATTACTTAAGATTTATAATATTAAAATTAATTTGAATGTATAAAAGCGAGAAATAAAAAAAAAAGTTTTAAAAATGAGTTATTTATCCAATAGGTTATAGGTTATAGGTATAGGTAGGAGAGAGAATTTATATATTAGGTTTGTACTATCATTGAATTATAAACTCTCATTTATTTTTCTAGTGGGGAGACTGGTTGCGGTAGGGCTGAAGATGTCGACGGCGAGCCTTCGGCGCGCACTGTGCGGTACCGTAGGTTTCGTGGAGTCGGAGTGGTGGAGCGATGGGGTTTAGTCGGTAGTCGGTTTTGCGGGGCGAGTCCTGCGTGGTAGACGCCGCGCAGCGCCTCGCGTTCTTTTCTCAAGGCGTAGTCTCCCGGTAGGAAGTGGAAGAAGAGGAGGACTTTGGTCTCCTTCTTCTCCCTCTTCTTTTGTCTAGAGGCGCCGGAGTCTGACATAACCCGGTCTGTTACCCCTCTCGACCAGGTATCCGTAAATGGATTACACCGGCGTTAAAAAAAAAAAAGATCTGAAGATGTACATACAGGATATTCCTTAGGACCCCAATGTTTTCGAGGATTATTTGAAGCGTTTCAAGCATGCTGGACCATGGTGGACTCAGTTACTACCTTTATCAGGTCAGTCTAGCGGGTTTGCCATCCAACAATCGATAGCCTCTTTGATAACAAAAGCTCTTTGTGCACACATCAACTCAACTAATCTGTTTTTAAGTTACAAACACCCAATATTGCCAGAGACCCTGCTCTGTTTTTTATCAGTAATACAATTTCAATCAGGTTATTTCCTTAATTTTTTTATTTCCAAGCACGAAATTTGGTTATTTGAATATTTCAGCCTGCTAGCATTCTCTGATGCTAAATAATAGCATTTTAAAATAGGATATTATACATGATTATTTTATATATTTATAATTATTGATTTATACATTTTTGTTTATTAATACATTACCTGAAGAAGTAATGTTTTATCTGAATTACTTATCTATTCTTATTATGTATTTTTAGTACCTTTTTAATATTTCAGACAGTACCTTTTTAATATTTCAGACTCAGACCGCCAAGGCGATTCCGATATCTATAGACTCGAGTGACATCAGCACTGGGTGTACCGTAAGTTTATTCCAAAGCAATAACAAAAAAGCGTTACACAAATTTCACCTGTTCTCTAATTCACTGTGATTATAGCTTAATCCATAGACACAGCCTACTGAGTTTCTCGACGGATCTTCTCAGTGGGTTGCATTTCCGATCCTGTGGTAGATTCTGCAAAGCACTGCTCTTGCTAGGGCTAGTGTTAGTGACGTCGTCAGGTATGAGCCCCGTGAATTCACCTAATCGCTCGGTTACGCTGACATAGCCTCTCAAGACAACAAGGACAGGTAGAAAAAAAAATTGTTTCAGAAACAAATACACATTAGAATGAATCTGTCTATTTTAAGGCAACGATAAAAAAGAAAATACTCAGCGTACTCAGGCTAGGCCATTTTTATATTTAGCTAAAGACGCAGACAACAGCACAAACTGTAAGCTGAAATACTTTAGCAACACATTAAACCTGTGTTTACATTTTCAAGTAAAACTTCCGGAACGAACAACTTCCGGTACAGTAAAAACGTGACTAGCATTAATTAGTGGATGAATTAGAACGTAATTACAAACTCACCAGGTATAGCGCTGCCGGATTGCCCCATATCACTATTTAGCACTTTTATGAATCACTCAGACAGTAGAATTTCTGTGTATATCACTTGCATAACTCGGTACGGACATGTTAACAATGCAACGCACTAATTGATTTGAACTATGACCTCTTTTAGTTTTTGTTTACTTTATTAAATTCAATTAAAAATTGTTGGTCGTGTGTAAGAAGGCACACGGTCGTAATAAATCTTCCATAACCTATATTATTCATGAAACGTGTTTGGATGGTTCCTGTATTTTAATTTAAAATTCATTTTTTTATTTATTTATTACGTTACATACTAAACATGAAAGGTTTTTTGTTTATAAATGATTTTTCATTTTTTAATTTTATTTACTATCGTGTCACGAATTTGACTTTGACATTTTTGACAGGTAAGTTCCGTTCCAATTGGATTTGGCTACAGTTAACTTAATATGCTCGGATACAACAGAACCGCACAATATTCATGAAAAAAAAACCTCGGAGGACGTATGTAAATTGCCCATTATTGTTTTGCTAATGATAATGTTACAAGCTGCTGCTAACTCAGCTGTAGATTGAGTATTTTCAGCTTCCATCATCCTCTTTAATTCGTTGTGCTTGACTTTAGTTAACGAGCGACCACAGAGTTCATTTTTAAAATCAAAATTTCCGCGTCGGAACCGTTCAAACTAATAACGAGAGTAGTTCATTCATTTGGAATGTTTACTCGTGTTCATTTATGATGATTACGTATTTTTATCGTGTCCATATTGATGAAAAAGATACAAATATAGTGAGAACAAAACACTAATCAATAAATAAATGACTGAATTTGAAAATATATCATGTATAACTTCATATTTTTAAAATAAAATCGAATTTATGATTTATTGTCTTATATAAATTACGTTTGAAATGATCAGCATTGGAAAAAAAGCAATTTCATAGGTGAAAACCTATTTTAAATACATATATATTTTTTCAATTACATTCTAAAGAGCTGCAATGCATCACATGAAACCCATTGCCATAGTGAAAAAGAAGAAGATACTTTTTTATTTAATCACTGGCAACAGTAACGATCAACGTCATGAAATGTTTTGACTTTTTGGCGGGAAGTCAAACAAGGCGCGCTTTTTTAATTTCGTAATTGAATTTAAATTATTTTCATCTGATATCTAAGTTAATAACTTTAAGTTTTGACGCTCTGCGTCCCATTTAGTAAAATGGGACAGCATAGTGACGGGGAAGAGCATTCAGACAAAAAGAAAAGAAAATACGCTAACACCAAAGATGTAAGTNATACCCCGCCACATGTACCTTGGTATAACAAATTTAAAGAAGCTAATTCCAGACAATTCATTACCACCATTAATAGATTGAGATTCGGTCATTGTAGAATTCCTGCTCATTTGTTTAAACTACGTTTAGCAACGGACAAAAACTGTCAATTTTGTGTCAATGAGGTCGCTGATCTGAAACATATTGTTATGAAATGTCATAAATATAGTTTAAATAGATTAATTTTAGTGTCTGAGCTGGACGATGTTTCTAAGGGTGACTCGCCTTTACAAACAGGCGTAAGGATGGACTTAGAAGAAATTTTATCAAACCCGTTGTACTTTAAACCAATTTATAGATATATCGTTAACACAATAGGAAATGTTTAAAAACAAACGAGTAATGTTAATACTTCAATTTGATGCTGTTTTGTTTAATAACTACTTGTAAATTTTTACGTACTTCATGCGTGAAAATTAATTTAAGATAGGCTATAAGGTCTTGTAACCATTGGCCGTAAATAAATTTAAAAAAAAAAAAACGTCATGAAAAATGGCGTTATTTTGAAACTAAGCATCTCAAAAAGTGTATACATTAATTGAAAGGAATTGTTTAAAAAACAACAAATAAAATGCCCATAAACAAAATACATTATGATAAAAAGACATTACTACTAGAGAAACAGAGTTTACTTGATAATATCGTGTATTGTGAAACGAGAATTGCTGAGTTATTGACAAAAAAATGCACAAATTACATAGAAGATAGCGATAGGTAAGGTTTTAGTGGCTTAAACTACATATTATCAACTTAGTGGAGTACAGTAATGGAAATATGAGTATACTGCTACGGGGTATTTCGAGTGTCTAAGGTTAAGAGATTCCAGAAGTCAATCTGTTTCATCAACGGCTCGCTGCGCGGACCGGGCGAAATAGACAAGACGGTGGTACTCAACTCCGAGGGCCCACGAGACGCTCTATCTCTAGTAAATAAATATAACTTTTATGATTTAAATAAAAATTGGACACAAATCTGACAGAACCATCTGGCGCCAAAACGAGTCGCTATGGGAATCAGATACTGTATACATTCATAAATACGCTTAAATATATAAATATGTATATATAAAAAACCCAGACAGAGCAAATAGATTCAACACACAAATGGGAATTGAACCCATGATCCTCAGGGCTACCATGGGAACTTAGTACTTCACTACCAAGCCATCAGTTGTATTTTTGTTTAACGCATTTTTTGATACTTCTATTTGCTATTATACAATAGATTTAACAGTAAGCCAATGGGCTTGGCTTTGCCCCTGGCAATGCTGATGTTTGACGTCCATGAGCAACGGTAACTAATCACCATCATATAGACCGTCTGCATACAGGGGCAATAATATTTTTTTTTTTTTTTTTTTTTCTCTCTTTTTATCTACAATCAGTATCCAGTACTTTTATTAGATGAGTTGAAATTTTCTAAGTCAGTAAGAGCGTGACTCCAGCGAGCCATCTACTCTAAATTTAAGATTTGTCATTGAACTATATGACGTCTTTTCTCTTGAGCCGTTTACCGTAACTTCGTTTTTTCAAGGCGGCAGNTACTAATGATACTTTCCCAAGGTACCATCGCCACTCTTATTGAGGGAATTTAGTCCTCATGGTTTGTGGTTACCATTATTCAGGTTAATTAACCGCCGCCTGTAGCTCGGCGTTGTTGCTCATTTTGCACCACCCGGAGGGCACGTGTAGGGAGGGTCTAGGAAAAGATGGTAATCCTACGGACGCGAGCAACATCTACCCCCCAAATATAATAATAAAAATATTTTAGTCTACACACCGATTTAATACAAAATTATGTGAATTTACAGCTCAGGCTCTGAAGATGGTTTCACATTGTCAATCGATCCAGGTCCAACTGTAAGCCAATTGAAACTTCTTCAGTCATCACTACAGACCTGTCTGCAGGCTACACAAGAACTAACTAATCTTCAAGTTCTGCAATCGGAAGTTAATGTGATGATAACTGAGCCAGAATTGGAAGGGTGAGTTTGGCGAATACATGTGTCTACGAGACTTTTGTTTCTAGTTGGGTGTATGATATTGCAGTGATACTAAGTCTGTATCAGCCGGCCATAATGTCTGTCACATCTTTGAAATCATAGTGTACTAGCAGATCCGGCCACACGTTGCTTTGTCTAAGATTTTTGTTTCTATACAACACGTGGCCGGCTATGCTAATACCAAAAATTAACAAAGTAAGAACAATTGGATTTCACTGTATTGTGCTTACTATGAAATAAATTTAATTTATACTTTAGTCTCAGCAACACGTGGTGTTTATGCATTAAATTGTAGCTTACGTGAAACGTTGGTATTTTTAACACAGCGCCATCTATGAGATATTAATGTCAGACAGTATTACAATTGTCTGTGAAAACTGATTTAAGGCGCCATCTGTTTTAGACTTATGAAACTTACAATTAATAACAATAATCAACATAAGAAATAATTTTACTGTTAATTAATAAATATTGCGACCATTAATCGAAATAAAAACCATCCTATGGCCTAAGTTGGAACAAAATACATATTTGAAAAGAAAAAAAATTAAAATCTGTTTACTACTTTAGGTGTCTATCGCGGACAAACAATCTGACACGTAATTTACATATATTAAGATTGTTGCTTTACAGCAGACTTGTGACGGTGGCACCAATGCCCCACCACCAGTGTGGCTTCTATATTATTACCAAATGCTATCATTGTGTTGCTGACAAACTCAGATATTGAGTCTGCTATTTCTCAATTCTTAGTAAAACCGTTTTTTTTTTGTAATATAACAGAGAGCCACCGGTTACTGAATCAGGTACATGGCGTGAAGTGACAGCCGACTGTAGAATCGATCTAGTTCCGTTCTCGGTTCAGTTCTATATGCATCAACCAGTAAGTTCATATTTTAAATTTAGTCTCTAATTTTTGGATTTTTTTTGTTTTTTTTTTATTGCTTAGATGGGTGGTGTTAAGTGGTTACTGGAGCCCATAGACATCTAGAACGTAAATGCGCTCACCCACCTTGAGATATAAGTTCTAAGGTCTCAAGTATAGTTACAACGGCTGCTCCACTCTTCAAACCGAAACGCATTACTGCTTCACGGCAGAACTAGGCAGGCTGGTGGTACCTACCCGTGCGGACTCAAAATACGTTCTACCACCAGTAATTACGCAAATTATAATTTTGCGGGTTTGAATTTTATTATACGATGTTATTCCTTCACCGTGGAAGTCAATCGTGAACATTTGTAAATTACAAAAACTTTAGATGTTTACTGATTATTAGACTGATTATAGTTGCCTAGGTGCCGAAATTATACAATTTTAAGCACCGGTCACTATTCTCGAGAAAGGGTTTGTTGTGCAACTTAACCTACAGACAAAACACCCTGAAGTNCGGCACTGATTTTTATTATACGATGTTATTCCTTCACCGTGGAAGTCAATCGTGAACATTTGTAAATTACAAAAACTTTAGATGTTTACTGATTATTAGACTGATTATAGTTGCCTAGGTGCCGAAATTATACAATTTTAAGCACCGGTCACTATTCTCGAGAAAGGGTTTGTTGTGCAACTTAACCTACAGACAAAACACCCTGAAGTTCTTGCCAGACCTCCTCAGTGGATTGTGGTTCTGATGTGGTGGTAGATTCAGCGAAACCTTTGATAAGGCTAGTGTTAGAAAATTCGCCAGGCCTAACCCCATGAGCCTACACATACGATGAAGCTAGTATATTCCATTAATACTGGTAGTATAGGTAGAAAAAAAAAATGATTAGATGTTTGTGTATGAAATGTATAATATACAATCAAATCAAATCTATATATATAAAATGAATTGCTGTTCGTTAGTCTCGCTAAAACTCGAGAACGGCTGGACCGATTTGGCTAATTTTGGTCTTGAATATTTGTGGAAGTCCAAAGAAGGTTTAAAAGGTAGATAAATATAAAAATGCTCGGAATTAATTAAAAATAACAATTTTGTTTTCCCTTTGATGTGTCCCCCGTCGACGGATTCCTTTAGTTTGTTTTAAGTTTATTTTATACAAAAGTTTAGATCTTTTATTTGTCGATTGAGTGCCTATGAAGTCTGCCGGGTCAGCTAGTAGTAAATAAATCTCTCATACAACAATTTATAGACATTTCAATTATTAAATTTTCAGGATCGTAAGTTCTCTGCGCCTTCGTATCGAAAGCTCTGTGTGATACTGGTGAAGGCGGCTCATGAAACCGAACTAGCCAAATCTGTGCTACCACATCTGACCAGACCCAGTGATGTTGTTGAGGTATTTTATCTTTGTTTATACTTGTTTATACTTTATATCTTTGTTTATACTGGTGGTAGGACCTGTTGTGAGTCCGCGCGGGTAGGTACCACCGCCCTGCCTATTTCTGCCGTGAAGCAGTAATGCGTTTCGGTTTGAAGGGTGGGGCAGCCGTTGTAACTATACTGAGACCTTAGAACTTATATCTCAAGGTGGGTGGCGCATTTACGCTGTTGATGTCTATGGGCTCCAGTAACCACTTAACATCAGGTGGGCTGTGAGCTCGTCCACCCATCTAAACAATAAAAAAAAAAAAAATAGTTCTCAAGCTAAACTTGGGTTTTCTTATAGGTTGATATTCTTGTAGGTCACCGATGACCTACGCGGCATACTGAAGTAATCTTCTTCTTCTTCTCCCATTGCTTCTCTCACATGATATGATTTAAAATTCTCGGTAGCAGAGTGCAGGCAGTTACGAAATAATATACTAACACACTTTTATATATTAGTATTAGTTACGTCGATTTTTTTGAATTTATTATCGAAATCACAGTTTTCTTGTTTTATTTTACTTCACGAAGTGACAGACATTTCTTCACTTATTCTTATGACACCTCTTGTCATTGCTTTCTATGTATATGTTTTCTTTTGATAAGGAGTTTCTATACTATTAACTCCAATATCACATTCATAGTTAACTAAAACATAAAAACTAAAAGATAATCTTGTTAGTGAAAATTATTATCACATTAAACGATTTTCTTTGGGACGACAATTCCAAATAAATGGTTTTTTTAAATTATTTGTTCAATTATGTATGAATGAATGGTAAATTATGTATTAACATAATATCTTGCACCTAAAATTAGCTGGTCAAATAATGACAGAGCATACACGCTGCTTTTAACTTCTGTGATAACTCATTTACCCTATTTATTTATTTATTTTATTTTATTTTATTCGGACGACAAACAGTGAACTTAAACTAAATAAACTCTAACCTAACAACTAAACACCATTTAAATGTCTCCGCATTTAAATAACTACAAACGATTGGGGCGTCGCATCGCCTAGAATTAAATAATTAAAGTAAAACGTAAAACAAAAACAAAAATAACAACAATTTGAGAGAAAAAAAAAACAGAATAACGTAGTAAATAGAAAATAATTAATTAAATATTTGCATTCAACCATCGACTGACCAATGTTCTCCTATATGCTTAGCGAAGAAATTATTTCTTTCTTTCAATAATCTCGAATGACTATTCTAGGTGTTGAAGAGTTATTCTGTGGCGTATAGATCGCGTCGGACGTCCCTGGCCAGACTCGCGGAGAAATACGAGTCCTCTCTGTACATGGAGCCTGCGGTGAGTGGACCACACCCACGCACTTATATCTCAAGGTGGGTGGCGCATTTACGTTGTAGATGTCCACGGGCTCCAGTAACCACTTAACACCAGGAGGGCTGTGAGCTCGTCCGCCCATCTAAGCAATAAAAAAAACTCATTCCTGGTATAATATGGCAGAGAGCCTTATAATAGAGTGTTTAGCTCCATTAGAATTGATTTGTTAGTTCTCATGGCAGTTAATTAATTATAATAACTTAAATCGTGTTTCAGGCCGAAGGTGGTTATCTGTTGAGATGCGCGAACCTTCTGGAAGTCCACTGGCGCCTGGAGAACAAGGTCTCGGCGGTGGCTCCGTTCTACCACAGAATGAAATTCGATCTAGAATATATGAGTATGTATGAACAATACAACACATTTCTAACATTCATAATATCTACTATTTCTTTTTGAAGTGAAACTTCTTTAGGCGCATGAGGGTAAAATTTTTACAGAACGTCACGCAGGTATGCAACGGAAGTGACATCAAACTACTATTGAAATTNCAAGGTCTCGGCGGTGGCTCCGTTCTACCACAGAATGAAATTCGATCTAGAATATATGAGTATGTATGAACAATACAACACATTTCTAACATTCATAATATCTACTATTTCTTTTTGAAGTGAAACTTCTTTAGGCGCATGAGGGTAAAATTTTTACAGAACGTCACGCAGGTATGCAACGGAAGTGACATCAAACTACTATTGAAATTCAGTACTTGTCAAATGTCAGTAGTAGTAGTTGTTGTATTTTTCCAACTGGAAAGGCAAATGCATACCATACAGCCTAATATTTTATAATTTTTTTGTGAAAAATGTTAATAGGAATTGAAATGAAATGAAAAGAATTTGGAACATTAATCAAATAGCATGAAATTAAATTAGTCAATTCAATTGGCAAAATATTAGTCATTTACAATTTAGAAATCTAAACATAATGTGACTGTCAACACTGAGGTTTGAGATTGACATTTGTCAGACTTTTGGCGGAAACATGTCTTCCTTTTTCCCTTCCTCTAAGTCTCGGAAATCTAAAGTTTTAGATTTGTATAAATATAAGCAAGACTTATAAATTACTTCGCCAAAAAAGTTTCACTTCTGACATGTGTACTTTGTACGCACGCACTTTTTAATGCCCTTGTAGGCAGACGATCATACGGCCCACCTAATGGTGAGTGGTTACCGTCGCCCATGGACTTCAGCAATACCAGGGGCAGAGCCAAGCCGCTACCTACCGCAAATGACTGCGAAAATGGCAAGAGAATGCCAATGAAGCCCTAAATGACTTAAGGTCGTGTTTACTTTAATTATTCGTAATTCTTTCAAACAGACGAGTCCTACGTTGCTAAAATATCGGAAGCCCACAAGCAGCTGTCCGACCCAGCGCTCTCCACCGACGAACGCACCCTCTTACTGTCAAAAATCATAACCGTATGCCTCGAGGTGAATGGACAGGAGACGGTGGAGCCAAGTCGCCTGGACACCAGACAGGACGCCCTCGACGGAGACCCAGCGTCACACATCATGGCCCCACCCAAGGAGATACCGAGGAAGCTGGCAAAAAAACCCTCAAAAAGCCTTAAAAGGTCTCAGCCTGACACCGCCAATGTCAGTGCTAAAAAAGGTAAAAGCGCCCCTGAAGATACCACACAAAATCAATCAGACAACATAAATATTCACAATTTGGTTGATAATATAGATAGTAAGAAAAAGAATTTTGAAGCGACCACAAAAAATGTAGTTACCAGTCAAGTTACTAATAAAGATAAAGATTCCGGTAATGTTGTACTTGAAAAAGCTCAAATGATAAAAAAGCCTATTGCTGAGAATGGAGGTCGTGGAAATAAGCAGAGTTCAAACTCAGAGGTTAACGTGAAGAGTGTAAAAAGCAATGCAGCATCCAAAAAAATCCCCACACACAAGTCTCGGCTAGCGGAAAAGTCTAGTGTTGCCAGTGCTGAAATTAAATCTACCTCAAAAAATGTAGCCGCAGTCAAAAGTAGAACCGAGAAATTAAACTTGAATGAAAACGATAAGAATGTTATGAATACTAATAATAATAATAATGGTAATGAATTAATCGATAAAGTAACAGAGAGAAATAAAATTATCACACCCAATAAAAGGGAAAACGTAGCCAACATCAATGTAGATAACTCAAGAGATAAACAGAAAAACGATTTACAAAATAAAAAGATACAGAAAAAGATATCGATAAAGTCTCATAAGAATCCAAGCGGTAAAATGAAGGCTGGCAACAATAATGTCCTGAGTGCTGGCAACACAGACGCGGCTAAGAAATCCAAGATACCCCAGAAGGTTTCTTCCCCGGTCGTGGATAGTATTATCAAGAAGAACATGCTAAGAATAAGTCCGAGTAAGTTCCAAGTACTTTCATTTTTAATACACTTTTATTAGCTTCAGACTTTATTTGAACATGATTTTGACCCCCTTCAAAACGTCGGATTAACTCGAAATTTGGTATACTTATTAAGGACGGATGACAATACAATATTTAAAAAAAATAGAAAAAATTTAAAATCAACTAAAAAATGAAAAATAAATAATAGTTTAAAAAACTAACAAAATACGCTTCTATAGAAAATCCCAGAAAAAAATACAAAATAAATATTAATAAATTTGAATTAAAAATAATGTAAGAAAAAATGAATTTGATTATTTATTTTTAATAATTACAATATCGAATGAATTCGTGGTCTAATAGACGATAAGTGGTCACACATTGCAAACGTCATGTCTAAATGTAGATAGTGAAATTCACCAATGTCATATTGGTATAGCTTCAGTAGACCAATAAAAATTAGTCGTAGAATATAAAACAAAATATTAACCTAAATTGTTTTTGTAAATCACGGCAATATCAGTCAATTACTACATTCGCTACAGCTGGAGGATGCAAAAAAAATCATGTTTATTTAAAAGTAAAAAAAATGGTGCACGTGCAACTTTGTGCACGTGATAGAAGTGAAACTTCTTTTGCGGTGTGTAGTATTGTGGTTTTCTTCATTTTTCACCCTTAAATCAAATTTCTCTTGTAACAGAGAATGCTTTGTATAAGAGAAATGACCTCTTCACCATTTATTTTAAATTATATCTAGAAAAACAAACCTTTTTTTTTAAATCCTTCATTAAAATAAAATATAAGTTAACATGTTACTGCCATCTACAGGAGCAATGAGGAACTAACAACGGGCCCTCTAGTGGCCGACGCCCGCAAACAGAATGTGCATGAAAGAAACGATCTAGCTCGCTCTGTCCTCTCCCTCTCTCCAAGGTCGAGTGGTTCGCGAGACGCTATATCTGTTCTTTCACTTCCGCTCGTCCTAAATTGTATCTTTTCTCTCTAGCCGTAACGAATCTGTCGCGAGTTAAATTTTACTCTCAACGCGCCTAAAGAAGTTTCACTAGAAAATTGCTATTTTCAAAAGCTGTACATTAATCTGAGATGAAGTTTCTTGGTCAGTTATATTTGGCCCCATAGTCCTGTCTCATATACAAAGCGAACTCCTGACTGCTAATCATGTAGACCACTCGTGTGGTTCTGACAGGCGACGGCTGTCAGAATTGTTATTACTGGTGGTAGGATCTCTTGTGAGTCCGCGCGGGTAGGTACCAGCGCCCTGCTTCTTTCTGCCGTGAAGCAGTAATGCGTTTCGGTCTGAAGGGCGGGACAGCCGTTGTAACTATACTGAGACCTTAGAACTCATATCTCAAGATGGGTGGCGCATTTACGTCATAGATGTCTATGGGCTCCAGTAACCACTTAAACCCAGGTGGGCTGTGAGCTCGTTTAAACATCAGAATACTGAAAAGTACATACAAGCTGCTTCTATCTACTAGCCTTACGTACCAAGTATTTTATTGTTGTCGCCATTTTCAGGACGTCTGCCAGCCAACATTAAGAGCTCTTCGGAAACGAGTAATAAACAGAGATTGATTAAGACCTCAACGAGTATACCGCGTGAGTGGAGTTTGTATTCGTAGATATTGAATTTAAGTCGTCGTGGCCTAAAGGATAAGACGTCCGGTGCATTCGTGTGTAGCGATGCACCGGTGTTCGAATCCCGCAGGCGGGTACCAATTTTTCTAATGAAATACGTACTTCACAAATGTTCACGATTGACTTCCACGATGAAAGAATAACATCGTGTAATAAAATCAAACCCGCCAAATTGTAATTTGCGTAGTTACTGGTGGCAGGACCTCTTGTGAGTCTGCACGGGTAGGTACCACCGCCCTGCCTATCTGAAGCGAAGCAGTAATGTCTTTGAGTTTGAAGGGTGAGGCAGCCCTTATACTGTAAAAACTGAAACCTTTGACTTATGTCTCAAGGTGTGTGTCGGCATTTACATGGTATATGTCTATGGGCTCCGGTAACCACTTAACACCAGGTGGGCTGTGAGTTCGTTCATTCATTTAAGGAATAATAAAAAATGTGCCAATAAAAAAAAAGTAAGCGCCATCTTGTGTCAAGTAACACAGTAACGCCATCTAGCAGGCAGGAGACGAACGACATAGAACTTCACTCTTCACTCACATCCTGTGTGTCCGACGCGATATGTCCTCGTATCGGCGGCTCTGTCCATGGTATTGCCGATGTCCATGGGCGATAGTAACTCAAGATGAGGTTGTCCGCGTTCAAAAAAAAATTTTGTAAGCAATGTAGTAGTTAGTACCAAAAACAAATTACAAGGTACATATTGTTTCTCACATTGTGCAGTTTTAAAAAATATTAGGAAATTTATTTTAATCTTAGTGGTTATGATCAAAAAATCCCCTTTCACTTACACAAGAAGATTGTTAGGAAGGACACAAGTGTCAATGATTTTATAATTATGATTTGTATATGTCAGTGGCTCTCAACCTTTTTCGTGTCGCATTTCATTTTTTGTTATTTAAGAATGTCACAGCAATAAAAAGAATAAGTAAAATTTAAAAATTCATTACTCACCTTACTCAGCCATTTAAAAAATATTTTGATGCAATAATTTCTTTTAAATTCTCTTTTAATATATAGTATATATAGTATTTAAGTATCTAAATTTAAACATTAGTCGTGAAAAAAATTAAAAGTTTGGACACAAGCTGGGAATCACCGATCTCAACGAACAAGAAAATAATGTTAATATTTTTTAAGAAAAAAAAGCTTTATATATTTAAATTCATTTTTTCCACAGGATTATTGAAGCCAACGTCAAAGATTAAATAGAAGGAAATGAAAAAAAAAAGTTTGATGAAATTGTATTTTTTTTTAAATAAAGTTTTTTTTTATTATTCATTATTTTTTAATTACTTTACCAACGGAATCTCGTACTTTCGTAATAATTGTATGTGTGTATAAGACTTATTGGCACCGCTATTCCCACATCATACTCAAAGCCTTTTAAATGCAAACATCAACTGTATGAAATACATATCTATATATATAAAAAGAATTGCTGGAGAACGGCTGGACCGATTTAATTAATTTTGGTCTTGAATTATTTGTGGAAGTCCAGAGAAGGTTTAAAAGGTAGATAAATATGAAAATGCAATAAAAAAATGGTGTTTGAGACTCTTGTGGGCTCACTAAGCCCCCTACCACCAGAACATATGCCATAATGATTTTAACCACATTTAGAAAATGTGTGTTCTGTGAACAATTAAAAAAAAAAGCAATGGAAGTTCAATAAAAGTCATTATAATTTTAAAAAAAATTGTATTCATAAATTGACATTATTACATCATTAATTATTTTATTACCATGTCAATATTAGGCCGCCAGCTATAATAATCACTTAATGGAATGAATACAAAAAAAAAACTTTCAAAATATTCTACCGCGTCACATGTGCCATTAATTACGTTCGTTAACAAGAGATGGCGCTGTATTAAAATTATTTTAATACTAAAATATTGTTTGACAATGCTCTGTATTGAGTGAGAATTACGTTAGAAACCAATGTTATTATTATCCCGACTATTATTATTTGATGTCAGTGACGACGAAAACCGATACGCTCCAAGTTTTTTTTTAATATTTCAAAATATTCTTTACACGACCATATGTTCAATTAGTTATGTTTGTTAATAGGAGATGGCGCTGTCTTAAAAATATCATAAAAATTCAAAAATATACTCTGATAATGCTCTGTACGGTAAAGTTGTTATTAATGTCCCGACAATTATTATTGTGACGACGAAGACCGATACGCTCCAAGTTTTGATAATATTTAATAATTAGGGAATTTTTATATATTGCATGTATACAAAACAGAAATAATGAAACTTATGATTCGTTTAAAACTATACTTGTGACGTTTTTTCCCTACTCACTTATTCTAGAGTTACTTAATTTTTAATCCGTCCAGCCATATTTTGCGAGGCATTCAGTAAAAAAAATGTAATAATATATTAATAAAATAATACCAGTGCGTATTTACAAGTGTTAATAAAAAGTCAAAATACGCCATTTTGAAAAATGTGTCTGGACGTTTGAACTAATTTGAAGACTTACAAGTAATATTACAACGACATCGTTCGTTGAAACGCAAAAAATAATAATATTATAATGTCAAAATAATACTTAAAACTATAAAATTATGTCAAAATAAAAATGAAAAAAATGAAAGAAACATGAATGTTTTGTAAATTTAAAATGGCGCTAAAAACGGGTAGTTTTTGTGAGTTTCGCCCATTCTGTAACAATAAACTTAAAGTTAGTTATAGTAGTAGAGATTGCGTATTATGTTTCATTCTATCTATGGAGGGTAGAGGTAAGGTATATCACTACATAGTATAAAACAAAGTCGCTTTCTCTGTCCCTATATCTGTCTGTCCCTGTGTATATCTAAATCTTTAAAACTACGCAACGCATTTTGATGCGGTTTTTTTTAATAGATAGAGTGATTGAAGAGGAAGGTTTGTATGTATAATAACATCCATTAAATAGTGGAGAAATCAAAAATAAATTACAGTTTCCGAAGCGAAGTGACGGCGGGTCGCTAGTTAAGGTATATTTAAGTGTCCGCCGAAATGGAGCTTATCAAGGTGGCCATATTAGCAAGAGGAGAGATTTTAAACACAGCGCCATAAAATACTAGACTTCACTTCAACCCAGCACACTTAGCTCTGTTTAAAACTGCTATATTCATATCGTTTCCACTTCTTACATTACTGCTATTTCGGTGATCCTTGACACATGCGGACACTTTCCAATTTGTCTCATAAACAGGATGGTACTCTTTAATTCTACCGTTTGAGTAGCCTCGAGGGGCTACCCTGGCTTCACTGTGACCGGTGGAAGAGCTCATGAGGTTCAGCCTGAGAGAGTTTGCTAACAACTTTCTCAGCAAGAGCAGTGCTTCGCAGAATCTACCACGGAATCGAAATCGCGACTCGCTGAGAAGATCCGGCGAGAAACTCAGAATGGATTGGGTCTACGGGGGCGGTTGGAAGCTTAGTAAGAAAAATGTTCAGCTATTGTGGCATTTGGCGTATAATAAACCTTTGATTTTTCGGGATGAACCTTTGCATTCGTCCATCCCGCCTAGCGAAAGGGCCAAAGATATTACTGAATATTTTTATAGCCTCCAGATTTTATATATCAAAACGGGAAAATAGACATGTCCTTGAACCTAACCTTTTATATATCTGTGTGTGCACGATGCTCTGCACTCAGCTGCAGATAGGAACAGCTGGCGGTGCATTATAAAAAACAAACTGTTTCAAGGCCATGACCACGACCCTCAGTAATGAGGAAACCGACGCAAGGAGGAGGAGGAGGAGGAGGAGGAGGAGTAGTCAGTAAACAGTCAAACCAAATCTAAGGAATTAACGGTAGCTCCAGTAGCTTTTAGCATTACACAAGAATCGCTGCAAGCATTATTTTATGTCGAGCAGCTGGGTAACAAAATAGACACCTTTGCCTATTTGTCTATTTAACTTTTTGCCTATTTCCAACTCCTTCGATCAGGGTTAGAAATAGGCGATACATTGATGCATTCACAGACAGCCGTAGATGCCGATCTACTTGAGACACTTTGATATGTCTCAAGCTTCCTATGGACTCCTACAAATTTACTTAAGTACCAGGAACGCATAAACGATAGGCTGTATCTATGACAAATAATTATGAAAAATAATAGTATAATAATAGCTTTAGAAGCGAAACTGTCAGAAATATTCTGCCTCGTTCACTCGCGTCGCATACGTATCGTTTGTCTCTTTCTAAGATCCAATTTGGAGCGTCGTTTCATTCGATTTTCAAATCATTTGAATCAGCACAGTTTGTACAGTACAGTCATATTTAACTCACCCAACGAATGTGAAGGTTCGCTTATTTTTGTTTAGGGCGTTCAATGCGTTTATATGTTCCGTGGTTAAGTCTACATTCAGCGCCTGAAGGTTGTCCCACAGGTGGGCTCCGGTGGAGGCTTTCACAATGGCGTTATGACCGCATTGGATCTGGTATCTGTAATTGTAAATTTTATTAAAGTTGTTAGTTATTGTTAGTCTAAGGGGATTATTCAAATCGCGCTAAGATTAGTAGGTGATCACGGGCTCAACCTGGGAGGAGTTGCTAACCCTGGCCTTAGTAAGAGCACTGCTTCGCAGAGTCTACCACTGGATCGGAAAGGGACCCACTAAGAAAATCCGGCGAGAAACTCAGTGGGCTGTGTCTATGGGTTAGTTCGCACATAGTTGAAGTAACATTTAAAATAAATAAATAAAACAGACAAAGTCGCGAATCAATACACGTAAGTATTATTTTTATATTCTGAGGTCTGGCGGTTTCATTTCAACACCTTTGAGACATCGACCTCAACTCTCAAGTTGAATTTGTTCTATTTTTTGTGCTTTTTAAGTTCTTCGGTAGCCAGCAATAATTGGAGCCCATGGACCCTGCCAAACTATGGGCAAACATTGGTAATCTGTGTTTCGTCTACCAGGAGCGCATGAGCAGTAAGGAGTTCTATCGAAACTAACTTGATGAGCAGCTGGGCGGGCGTGATCCCGAGGCCGGAAGCCATCACTTGTACCAGGGGATCATCGATGACGGAGAAGTTGTTGCTCTTGTATTCTGTCGGAGTTCCCTTCGACCCTAGTACGCTGAAGCAGCTTAGAATAATCTCCTTTTCCTCGCAGAACTTGTGGAGGCGCTGCTGAGTCAGGTACGGATGACACTCGACCTAAGTTCAGTATATATAATCAGTTCAGTATAAAGTAAGTTTATATTATATAGTACATAATAAAGTAAGTTTTTAACTTCAAATTCAGTTTTTTAAACATCACTTTCAATTTAGTAAGCATCAAATTGAATTTTATAAATATCGAATTATATTTTGTAAAAATCACATTCAATGTTATAAACATGAAATTAAATTTTATAAACGATCAAATGCAATTTCTATTCAAAGGTTAGTTTTTTATTTATTTATTACCTACAAAAAACTAATAATAAAAAATAACAAGTTTTTAATTTAAAATTCATTTTTATAAACCTACTAGCTGACCCGGCAGACTTCGTAGTGCCTCAATCGATAAATAAAAGACCTAAACTTAATTAATTCCAATTTTCATATTTATGGGTCATACACAAATAGAGAACAAAAAAGTGCAGCAAAAAAAAAATCTCAGAATCAGTGTGAAACAAATTATTTATTATTTAACTATTGATTATCAATCTTTTAATCACTGTAACCGAGATCAATGTGTCTTTTTTTGGCATAATCGCAATTTTTATATTTTTGCGGACCACAGAAGAGACGATTTAGTCTACAAGAGATGAAAAGCTGTGATGCAGCGTAAGCTAAAATATATGAAGACAACGTTATCAAACACATGTAGCCACTGATATAAACGAATACCGAAACGCAAATAAAATGTCAAAATAATCACATTAATTGGAATATAAAAAATAAAATAATAATGTCTACAGAAAGGAAAATCCCTTCGGTGGACTTATGAAACAAAACAAAAGGACAAACCCGAAATCCATACAAACTTGGGCCTGGCGTTACAGTGCTAGAATTTGGGCATAAGTTACAATACCTAAGAAGGTTTCATGAGCCCAATTTTCAGGTCTCCCAGCAATGGCCAAATTGGTAAAATCAGACAATGTTTACATTTTAGGTTATGTTTATTGTTCGAGATATTTTAATAAAAACGATATNGAAAGAAACCGTTATCGAAATCGTAACCAAAAAACCAGCAGCATTCTAATATCATTAATGACATATTATATCATACTGTAT